AACAACAACAACAACAATGGAGAAGAGGAGAGTATGAGAAAAACTCCAAAGGAAAGTGGGGAATATTCTCTTTACATTCTAAATTATTTTGATTACCTGCAATTAAAAAGGTCATTCAGAGGTAAGAGAGGTTTAACCATGGATGAGCACCAGGATGGAATCGGATTTTCTTTGCTGACTCCAAGTCAATAATGAACCACATCTTCCTCCTTTTCCTCTCCCTTCTCAGGTTTCAGTGACTCTAACCAAATCCAACTCAAGACTGGACTGTGCCCTTCACTTACGCATCTCTTACCTTGGCCCCACTCCACAATACCCAAGAGAAACCAAGCTAATAAAGTTTAAGCTGAAATAAGTCTTTGTGTCCATTGTTATAATTTATTCAAACATCTACTGAACACTAGGAATCCCTGGGTGGTGCAAGTGGTAAAGTGCTTGACTACTAAGCAGAAGGTTGGCAGTTCAAACCTAGCCAGAAGCACCTCAGAAGTCAAGCCTGACAATCTATTTCCAAAAGGTCACAGCCTTGAAAACCCTAAGGAGTAGTTCTTCTCTGCACACATGGGGTGTCTATGAGTCAGAACCGACTCAACGGCAACTAACAACAACTGTGCACTAACTGAATGTTTGTCTGTGTGTTATCTATGTGTGTGTACCACACGACGGAAAGGAGCTATGACTCTGTTAATTCATCTATTTATTCTACAAACATTCCTTGGAGACCAAATACAGCAAGGGCTGTGCTAAAACACTGGGAGCCTTGGTGGCACAATAGCTAAGCCTTCAGCTGCTAACTGAAAGGCCTGGGGTTCAAACCAAACCCACCAGCAGCTCCCTGGGAGAAAGATGTGACAGTCTGCTTCCATAAAGATTGCAGCCTTGGAAATCCTAAGGGGCATTTCTACTCTGTCCTGTAGGGTCACTATGAGTTGGAATCAACTAGGTGGCAGTGGGTTTTTTTGGTGCTAAGCATTGGGTATACAGCAATGAAGGAAACAAACACCATCCTTACTGTTAAAGTATAGTGACATATAGACCCTACTCTTCAAACACACAAACACATTACTAATCACATAGTGTGTGAATTTCTGTGAAGAAAGACTATTGTTGTTGCTAGTTGACGTTGAGTTGATTCTGACTTATGGAGACCCCATGTACACAGGGCAGATCTGCCCCATAGGGTTTTCAGGTTGTGACCATTTGGAAGCTGATCACCAAGTTTGTCTTCTAAGGTGGTGCTGGATGTGTTAAATCATCAGCCTTTTGGCTAGGTGGTGCTGCCATCAAGTTGGCTCTGAGTCTTAGTGACCCTATGTACAACAGAGCAAAACACTGCCTTGGTTCTGTGCCAACCTCACAATCATTGTGATGCTTGAGCCCATCATTGCAGCCCCTGTGTTGATCCATCTCGTCGAGGGCCTTTCCCCTTTTCACTGACCCTCTACCAAGCATGATGTCCTTCTCCAGGTATCTGTCCCTTCTGACAACACGACCAAAGTAGGTGAGACAAAGTCTGGCCATTCTTGCTTCTAAGTAACATTCTGTCTGCATTGCTTCCAGGACAGATTTGTTCGTTTTTCTGGCCATCTGTGATATTTACAGTATTCTTTGCCAACATCACAATTCAAAGGCATACATTTTTCTGTGGTCTTCCATATTCATTGCTCAGCCTTCATATGCAGATAAGGCAACTGAAAATACCATGGCTTGGGTTAGGCACATCTTAGTCCTCAAAGTGACATCTTTGCTCTTTAATACTTTCAAAGGTGTTTTGCAAATTTTCCCAGTGTAGCAGGACGTCTGATTTCTTTGCAGTTTCCATGTGGGTTGAATGAAATTCAAAAATGGAATTTTACTCCATCCGTATCATTAAGGTTGACTCTTTGAAGAAGCAGCTCATGTCCAGTTGTACTTTTAATGTCTTCCAACCTGAGGGGCTCATCTTTTGGCACTATATCAGACAGTGCTTCACTGCTATTCATAAGATTTTAAGTGGCCAATATTTTCAGAAGTGGATGGCTCTGTCCTTCTTCCCAGTCTGTCTTAGTCCGGAAGCCCCACTGAAACCTGTCCAACATGGGTGACCCGGCTGGAATTTGAAATACCGGTGGTATAGCTGACAGCCTCACAGCAACACTCAAGGCACCACAGTACAACAAACTGACAGACGAGCAGTGGTTTCGGCTAGTAGTGAGTGCTAACTGTTTGCACCACCCAAGATGCCAAAAAAGGACAAGGGTGTTGCATTAGCATCCTAAGGTTGCAGTAACATATCACCACAAACCAGGTGGCTTAAAACTACGGAAATATATTTATTCTCCGATGGCTTTGAAGGCTGTTGTTGTTGTTATGTGCCGTCGAGTCGGCCACGATTCATAGGGACCCCTCCTTGGGTTGCCGAGGCAGTATCACTATGGAAGTAGATTGCCCAATCTTCCTTCCAAGGAGTGGCTGGTGGGTTTGAACTGCCAGCCTTCTGGTTAGCAGTCAAGTGCCTTAGGCACTATGCTATCAGAGCTCCTGCTCTGAAGGCTAGAAGTCTGGAATCAAGGTGTGGGCAGGTGCGCACTCCCTCTGAAGGTTCTAGGGAAGAATCTTTCCCTGCCTCTTCCTAGCTTCTGGTGATTTCCAGCAATCCTTAGTATTCTGTGGCTTGTAGCTGTATCACTCAAATTCCTGCCTCTGTCTTCACGTGGCCATTCCTCTGTGTCTCAGTGTCTCTGTGTTTGAATCTCCCTCTCCTTTTTCCCATAAGACACCAGGCATTGCACGTAGGGCTCACCCTAATACAGTATGCCCTCATCTTAACTTGATTACAGCTGCAAAGATCTTATTTTGAAATAAGGTCACATTCATCGGTATCAGAGCTTAGGACTTAAACATATCTTTCTTGGGATGTATACAACTCCACACAGGATGTATCTTAATGATTCTGCATGATTATAGAGCTGATTGTCATGGGGAAAAGTTTGAATCCATATCTCTGGGGTCCTGTATTTCTCTGTAAGAGTTCTGGTGGCAGTGTTTAAAGAGTTCAGTTGCTAATCGAATGGTTGGAACCCACCAGCTGCTCTGAGGGAGAAAAATGTGGCAGTCTGCTTCCATATTTACAGCCTTAGAAATCCTATGGGGCAGTTCTACCCTGTCCCATAGGGTTGCTATGAGTCAGAATCAATTGGATGGCAGTGTTTTATTATTATTTTGGTTTACATGTCAGGCAAGGAGCCTTGGTGGTGGGGTGGTTAGTGCTGAGTTGCTAACCAAAATTGGTGGATGGAACCCACAAGCAGTTCTGCGGGAGAAAAATATCAGTGTGTTCCTGCAAAAGTAAGAGTCTTGGAAAACTGTGGGGCACTTCGACTCTGTCCTATAGGGCCTCTGTGAGTCAGAATCGCCTGGCAACACGTTTGGTATTTATATATATTTTCATGTGCTAGGCATTGCAATAAATATCTTATCTATTTTATCACTTAATTCTCACAACTTCGTGAGGTAGGTATTATTATTATTCTATTTCACAAAAATAGAATATGAACCACAGAGATTAAGGAATTACTCTAAAGCCCCTAATCACATGTAGTGGAAATGAGCAATCCAGCCAGGCAGTCCAACTTCAGAATCCAAGTGCTTAGCTGTAAACCCCTCACTGATCAATCTGTGCAGGTGGTTCCCACAGCCAAACCCTGTTAGAGTAGAATCGATTCTGCTTTATGCTTACTATGGAAGGTCCGACTCGATGGCACATAACAACATGGAACCCTCGGTGCCCAACACAGCATTGGCACGTAGTAGGTGGTCAATGAACCACCTCCAGTCCGAGGCAAGACTGCTGTAGAGGGGCTGGTGCGAGATGTGAGCGCCCGAGGCACCGAAATAGTGGAGTGCAAGCGGCTGCACAATAGTGCCTCGGGCTCCACGTTCGCGCGTCCATCAGCGCGAGACAGGAATGCGCACCGGCCCCCACACCTTCTCAGCCGCCAGGCTTTGAGGAGTTCGGTCATAAGCAAAAAAGGCGGGGCCACCGTGCCGGCGGGAGAGCTTCGGCCAGGCGGCAGGAAGTCGGATGCATCACTTCCGTCGCGTGGACATGACGCGCGCCTCGAGCTTCCGCGTCGGGGAGCCGCCGGCGGATCCCGGGACTCGGAGACCCGGGTTCCCGGTATCCGGGCGGCCCGGGGGCCCAGGGCCGGGATGCATCGCCGCGGGGTGGGAGCTGGAGCCATTGCTAAGAAGAAGCTTGCTGAGGTGAGTAGGAGAAATGGGATCCGCAGTCCACGCCTTACCCGCGAGACATTGGATTTCCTCGGAGCAGAGGTACCCACAAACCACCTCCCATCAGAGCCTGAGACTGGCTCCTGTAGTTCCAGAGAACTGAATTTCTCTAGCTCCCGGTAGACTGAAGCGTCAGCACCTCCACAACCCAGCCTCTTTCCCATATCACTTTCCCAAATTTTACTAGAGACGTATCGTCTAGTCTGCTTCCTCACCCTATCCCTCTCCTTAAAAAAAAAAAAAACATTTAAGAGAGAGACACCTTTTTTCGGACTTCAACTGTGGCAGCGCAAGTGGGAGCCCCCGATGCCTACTTTCTAAACTCAGGCGGATCTCTCTCTCTCTCTGGCAGGCCAAGTATAAGGAGCGAGGGACTGTCTTGGCTGAGGACCAGCTGGCCCAGGTAAGTCAGTCAGAAGATTCTAGGCAGGAAGGGAGACCGGGCAGTGCTGGACGGGACATCTTTAGTAAACGAGATTGTTTGGACTGAAGCAAAAGCAGAGTAGCAAATTTTGAGCTCTGGACAGCCTAGATCTTTTAGGTAACTGGCTAGTAATATTAGCTGACATCTCTGAGTGAGTGCGTGCTTACACCGTCCAAGACACTTGTCCATTTTCTTTGGGTACACTGAGTTGTTCAGTCCCATGAGAAAGCAGCTCTCATTATTTACAGTTTAGAGTTGAGGAAATTGAGGAATTGTGTTGTAGTTTAGCAAACGTTGAAAAGTAGTGGGTAGTAGAGCTGTTTGGTTTATGTCTTTTGGGGCTTTTACTTTAAATATTTCAGAATAAAATGAAAGTATTGTCTAACCTGTGGCGTTCATCACCATTATTACCTTTAGGGGTGCACTGGAAGGGGGTGTGAGTGATGGGAGTATGGCCACTGCACACCGTTTCTTTCTCTTAGGCTTTCCTTTTCTGTACATGCTCTGTGCTTACTCAGTTTTGGTGACTAATGAAGATGAGGAGGCCCTTGAACTGAGTAATAATAGGAGATGCAGGCTGTGCTTTTCAAGGAGTCCTTGGGTGGTATAAACTGTTAACACACTTGGCTGCTAACCAAAAGGTTGGTGGTTGGAGACTGCCTAGAGGTACCTTGTTAGAAGGTCCATGACTCAAAGGTTAAAATCAGTTACTGAAAAATTTTGTGGAGCACGGTCCTACTCTGACGCACGTGTGGTTGCCATAAACCAGTTACTCGTGCTTTTCAAAAGCTCCCACTCCTATAGGAGATAACGTGCAGGAGTCAATCGAAAATGGTGATTATAAGAATGTGGAGGTTTGTAATCGTTTCATGTGGGAAATGAGAAAGAGCTGTTGGGCAAGTAGTGGTTACTTTTGGTGGGGTAGAAGGTGAACCTTGTTAATTAGGGAAAGAGAAGGAATAAACACAGTGCCAGAAATTCCCAAATGATTTATATTTGGCTTTGGAATGCAAATCTGGTAAACCCACATTCCCGCCCCAGGATTTGTCCTCCGTAGTGGATCCCCAAGGAGGTCCATGACTCAGAGGTTAGACAACCACTGGGCACTTAATTCATGCCTCCCATCCAGTGTTTCTATCAGTGGCTGAAGATTCCTGTGGTGTGAATGCGGCATTCCCTCATTTCTAATGTAAATGGATTGCTATGTGTACCATTAATAAGTTTTTCTGGGAAGAAGAAAAACCACATTAGATGTGTATATTGATTGTTGCATGCATCCTGATTTTAGAAGGGGAACACACACAAAAAGTATTTTATAACTGCAGAAACAGTGCACCATCTCTTTTCTACTGACAACAGCTTTTTTCTTGCCACTGGCTTAGGGACATTTTGTTGCTATCTGGTTATTACTTGGTTGGGCTACGCCTAATTTCTTGTTCATCCTACAGATGTCAAAACAGTTGGACATGTTCAAGACTAACCTGGAAGAATTTGCCAGCAAACACAAGCAGGAGATCCGGAAGAATCCCGAGTTCCGGGTGCAGTTCCAGGACATGTGTGCCACCATTGGGGTGGATCCCTTGGCCTGTAAGGAGTTATGTATAGGAGCCTTCTGTTCTCAGGGTTCCTGGGAAATAGAGACTCACCTAGTGGTCATCGCCGTTGTTTGGGACAGGGAGATCCAGAGGATGTTGTCTTTAAGGGGTCACCATGAATCAGAATCATCCTATTGGCAACTGGTGTTTAGAAAGAAGGCTAAGATAAGACCACCACTGTCAGTCAGTAAGCAGTCTGATGAGAAAGATAGAGAGTGCAGGCTCATTAGCCAGTGTACTTCCCTTGAGTGATTGTCAGTGGATTTATTTTCTGGCTATTTTTTTTTTCTTTATTAAAAAAAATAGTTAATTTTAATAAAAGTAATGTGTTATCATGTAGTTAATCAACAGAAGTATATAATGGAGGAAGTGGAAGTCTTCTGAGCCTGTCCCATAAGTGCAAAGATAAGTGCTGTTGACAGCTTAATGTGTGTCTTCGTAGACACTTTCCTCATAAGTTTTTTTTTATATGCATAGGGTCATACTGGGAGCTCTGGTAGCGTAGTGCCTAAGGCACTTGACTCCTAACTAGAAGGCTGGTGGTTCAACCTACCAGCCACTCCTCAGAAGGAAGATTGGGCAATCTACTTCCGTAGTGATAGCACCTCAGAAACCCAAGGAGGGGTCGCTATGAGCCAGATCCAACTCGACAGCAGTGAGGTAGTTAGTTTAGGGTCTTACTATAGTTACTACTCTGGAACCTGCATTTTTCACTCAGCCGAGTATTCAGTGGATTTCTGAATGCCAGGTCTGCATATTCTTCCCCTTATTAGCCTTGCCTAGACCATGTCTCCCATTATATTTCACTGTATGCTTTGGGAAGGAAAATTATTTTTACAGTGTCCTGAGCCAGAATTGAGGGAAAAATCAACCGTAGTCGTTCAGTATAATCTGAGCTGTATAGAAATGACTTAGATTTCCCACCTTTGGGACTGTCTAAGCCTGTTCATTAGCAGGAGTTACCAAGAATCACGGTATTGAAAGGATCCTGAGTAGCACTTGGAACAGAATGAGTTAGAGTTAAGAGAAAATTTGCATAGGATAGATGTTTCAATCCAGCTTTGAAAGGAAAGAGGACATGAATGAATAACTTTTTTTTCTGTCTTTTAGCTGGAAAAGGATTTTGGTCTGAAATGCTGGGAGTGGGGGACTTCTATTATGAGCTAGGTGTCCAGATTATTGAAGTGTGCCTGGCCCTGAAGCACCGGAATGGAGGTGAGTTTGGTTAGGTCCTGTGGGCTGGGCTTGGACTTCTCTGAGAGGGAGAAAACCTTGGAAGATTGTCCTTTCCATCCTGAAGTCTGTAGGCCTGGGAGGTCTTAGAAGCTGAGTGTTTCCATCTTAGCTGTTTCGTGCAGTTGAGTCCATAGCAGGTCTCCATAGCCAAGGGTAAATAGAATTATCTGAATGCTTGTCTCTCTTCTCCAAAGATCTTTGGCCAAGAAGGTCTGGCCCCCAGTCATCACAGAAAACAGTAAGGCAGTGGGAAATCGGCCTTTTCCCAGTCTGTCGTGTGTGGGCTATGATTTCCTCAGTGGTCCCGCCCTGCCTTTCTGGAGTGTGGTGATGCCAACTGAGTATCTAAGTTCCCCAAAATATGACCTTAAAAATAGGCATCCACCCGCTATCACCACTTCTATTCAACATTGTACTGGAAGTCCTAGCCAGGGCCATAAGGCAAGAAAGGGAAATCAAAGGCATCCATATTGGTAAGGAAGAAGTCAAACTATCCCTATTTGCTGATGATATGATCCTATACCTAGAAAACCCAAGAGATTCAATCAAAAAACTACTGGAACTAATTGAGGGATTTAGCAACGTCGCAGGATATAAGATCAACATCCAAAAATCAGTTGGATTCCTCTACACCAGCAAAGAGATTGCTGAAAAAGAAATAAGAAAATCAATACCGTTCTCAATAGCTACCAAAAAAATAAAATACTTGGGAATAAATCTTACCAGAGACACAAAAGACCTCTACAAAGGAAACTATAAAAAGCTACTTCAAGAAACCATAAAAGACCTAAATAAATGGAAAAACATTCCATGCTCATGGATAGGAAGACTGAACATTGTGAAAATGTCAGTTCTACCCAAAGCAATCTATACATTCAATGCAATCCCAATCCAGATCCCATCAACATTCTTTAGGGATATGGAAAAAATGATCACTAACTTTATATGGAAAGGAAAGAGACCTCGGATAAGCAAAGCACTACTGAAGAAGAAAAACAAAGTAGGAGGTCTCACATTGCCAGATCTCAAAACCTACTATACAGCCACAGTAGTCAAAACTGCCTGGTATTGGTTCAATGACAGATACATAGACCAATGGAATAGAATTGAGAACCCAGATATAGATCCATCGACCTATAGTCAGCTGATCTTTGACAAAGGCCCCAAATCCATTAAGTGGGGAAGAGAATGTTTGTTTAATAAATGGTGCTGGCAAAACTGGAGATCCATTTGCAGAAAAATGAAACAAGATCTGTACCTCACACCACACACAAAAACAAACTCCAGATGGATCAAAGACTTAAATGTGAAACCTAGAACTATACAGTTTCTCAAGGAAAATTTAGGGTCAAACTTAAGGGCCCTAATATTTGGTATAAATAGACTACCAAGCATAATTCAAAATGCACCAACAGCAGAAGAGAAGCCAGATGATTGGGACCTTCTAAAAATTAAATGTTTATGTGCTTCCAAAGACTTCTCCAAAAGAGTCAAAAGAGAACCTACAGATTGGGAAAAAATATTTGATAATAACATATCTGACAAGGGACTTATCTCTAGAATTTATAGAACACTCCAACGCCTCAATAACAAAAAGACAAACAATCCAATTAAAAAATGGGCAGAAGACATGAATAGACACTTCACCAAGGAGGATATTCAAGCGGCCAGCAAACATATGAAGAAATGCTCACGATCATTAGCTATTAGAGAGATGCAAATCAAAACAACAATGAGATACCATCTTGCTCCAGCACTAGTATCAAAGTTCAACAAGACAGAAAATAACATGCTGGCGAGGTTGTGGAGAGATTGGGACTCTCATACACTGCTGGTGGGACTGTAAAATGGTACAACCATTGTGGAAAGCAGTATGGCGATTCCTTCAAAAGTTGGAAATACAAATACCATTTGACCCAGCCATCCTATTACTAGGTATATACCCTGAAGAAGTGAGAGCCATAGCAAGAACAGATATATGCACGCCGATGTTCATCGCAGCACTATTTACAATAGCCAAAACTTGGAAACAACCTAGATATCCAGCAACTGAGGAATGGATAACCAAACTTTGGTACATTCACACAATGGAATACTATGCAACGCTAAAGAATAATGTAGAATCTGCAAAACACCGCATAACGTGGATGAACTTGGAGGACATTATGCTGAGCGAAATAAGTCAGTCACAAAAGGACAAATATTGTATTAGTCCGTTATTGTGAAAGTTAAGGAAAGGTTTATATATTGGAGGACATTTTCTTTGTTGGTTACCAGGGGTGGGAGGGAAGGGGAGGGAATGCTGTTAGATAGAGATAAATATTGATTTGTGTGAAGAGAAGGGCAATGTACCAAATGTAAGTGACCAATATGGCAGCATTGAGGATGAGAAAGACAGAGTTACATGGGCAGTACAAACAACAAATATGAACCCCTTTGCAAATACAATACTGAGTTGTCATGAAAGCAAACATGGGTATAGGGACGGATAGATGGGTGAACAAGCTAAACAATTATGTATGTCTAAATGGAGAGTGTATCCAAGATCATATACAGGGTTGGCAGACAATGGGCCTCTCGAAGAGTTTGAAGGGATGGACACTGGGAGGAGGTAACTATGGGGAGGAAGTGGGAGGGGAGCTGCTGCATTGTAAATTTTGGTCAATGACATGAGACAAAGTATATGTGAACTGCTGTATGAAAAGTGAATTAACTCTGTAAATCTTCACCCAAATCCTAATAAAAAAAAAAAAAAGGAAAAAAAAAAAAATAGGCATCTAGTCATCTTAGTAAGCACCATGAACAGTCTGTGTTGATGTTAAGAAGAAAGAAAGGAGAGAAGGAGAGGAAGCAAGCAAGCTTAAAACCCTGTTACAATTCACGGGCTGTAAGGAGACAACAGCCTTGATGTTAAGGGAACATTTACAGTTTTTCAAAGATTGATTGTTTTTCAAAAATGTTTATAAAAACAGTTTAGTTTTTCAAGTTGTTTTTAGATGTCTTGTTTTGACAATTAAAGGTCCTAAAGGGGTCTCAGAACCCATTTCTTAAATATAGCCAGTTATTTGACAAGAAGAGAGGTGGAAGAAATTTGGGAACTAGAATACTACATGCTACTTGTAGGCTACTGGAGAGCAATAACTGTCTGTTTATGATTGCAGCCATCAAGATAATCTCTTCATCTGCTTTCTACCCCTCCAGGTCTGATAACCCTAGAGGAGCTACATCAACAGGTGTTAAAAGGAAGGGGCAAGTTCGCTCAGGATGTCAGCCAGTAGGTCTTGCCTTCTAACTGCTTGGAGGATGGAAAGAGGTCTTTAACAATCAGATGGGAATCTCTACTCCTTACATGTCAGAGCTAGCTTGAAAAAATATTTTCTATTACTCTATAAATAGGAAATATGTTTTTATTTCAGAAACCATTTAAAATAGAAGTCTGAAAAGAAAAACACCACCCATTATTTCTTAGCTGAGAGATTACAGTTAATTATTAAACA